AAGGGAAGGGATTAAGCTTCCTATTTATGGAGACAGAGAGCTGCATGGAGGCTGAGTGATTTGCCCGGGGTTACAGGTGAATCAGTGGCAGGGACAGAACAAGGTGCCCTGACTCAGAGGCACCTGCTGTCAGCACAAGGCAATGCCACCCAGCTCCTGTGCTCCCTGAAGCCAGGCTTAAGTCATCCTCCTCTCCTCATGACACCAGTCAATTCCCTGTGAGTGAGTGTCTGTCAGGAATTTTCCACATCAAGAAGAATGATGGATTTTTCTGGTAGAACCTATTATACCTAACAGAAGATAAACCCAAGAAAGGTGGTCTGAGGCACACAGATGAAAGCACACCCAGACCTCTGGAACACAGACCCTATCTGAACAGACACCTCCAAGATATGTTCTGCATCTTTCATATCACCCTTCCCTTCCCCCRTATGCTCACAGGACACTCCTTTGCAGGGTGAGAGCAATTGCTTACACAGAACAGGTGTTTCTGTGTCCTCAGTTGCCAGTAACACAGGTTAGCAGTTGGTAACATGGAGGAGGAGGCAGCACTGCATTTCTCCTGTCAGTCATTTGTAACAGCTCCACACACCACGGTGCTTTCTGATACAAAGCTTTCTGATACAGACTGGGTTCATATCACACAAGCAAAAATAATGTTTCAGTAGAGGGGCACAGGCTTTAGGAAAGATCTGCAGCACAGCAAAGAACCCAACTTAAAGACAGACCCGTCACRGATCAGTTCCTCTGCATCACTCTACAGTTACACCAGGTCTCCCAAGGAAGCATTATCAGTACAGATGGAAACTTAGATAACAAAGTTAAAGCATGTTGGCTGCACCTCACAGCACTTACCCTGCTGCCTATRTCTTCTCGCTTGTTCCCAGGCTTGCTTCTCCTCAGCTTAATGGACGGGGAGCGTAGCAGATTTTTGATCCGACTTGTTATCGTAGACCCTTCGACTGACATCATCTCCAGATGCCACRGAGGTATTCACCCCACACACACACTGTCCCTGGGGATTGAACCCAGGATGGAGGCAGAAACACCGATGGGCTCAGCTTTGCTCCCACACGTTCACATATCTCTCAGCGATTCTGCTTGGGAACTCCACTCCTGTTACACTGCAAAGCTATTCACAGAGGCTGGCAGACTTTCCTTTTGCAGATTCCAGAGGATCAAATCAGCAGTAATCTAAACTGAAAGATGCACCGTGAGTCAATAYGATATTCACAATAAATTCTAGCCTCGTTCTTTTCAAGAAATGTRAATGCAAGAGCTTATAAGGATGGAGAAAACATTACTATTTTCAGAGGCTTCCACACAAATTATCATTCATTTAGTATCAATTAACAATTAACACATCCACACCAATTCCCAAATCCAAAATTTAGATTGTCCACTTCAGTATCATCTTATGACAAAAATTCCCACCCCTTGCTTTTGGTCCATACACATCCATTCCACGTTGTGCTTCACAGCCTGGAAAGCACAATGCTGTACTTGACTATTAAACGCCGAGTCGCAGAAGAACCCCGAGAACACACGAGGGAGTTTTTAACTCTCACAAATCTATCTCTGTTTTAGGTCCACACAATTACATAGTGTGTGATACTAGATAATAAAGGCATATGATGTTTCCACGTCCCCCACCCACTATTTATAAAGTGGATCAAGGAGGCACTGTAGCTGCTGCCAACGATTGCAGACCCCCGGCCAACACCTTCACCTTTCCCGAAGCGCCGGTGGTGGCCGGGGGAAAAGAGGGATGCAGTCAGAGGCTGCAGCGAATTATCCTCCCGGCTTCAGTGCGAAATGGGGGCGGGGGGAAGAAMGAGAGAGAGCGAGAGAGAAGGGGAGAGAGAAGAGGAGAGGAAGAGAGAAACGTCCAAGCCAGCACAGCCACCAGCCTCCTCCCTGCGGCGGCAGCACTGCGGGTGAGGGGCCGCGCCTCCTCCSCCCGCCCCAGCCCGCCCCGCCGCGTTGAACCTCTCCTACCTGGCGCCCAGGAACGGCGATCCCGGCGATCCCGGCGCCCACGGTGCCCCGCAGCGCCTGCCCATGCAGCCGGCCTGCCCCGAGGAGGGGCCGCGGCGCGGGCCGCCCCCG